ATCCTTACCACGTCAGAGGCATCTGTACATACTCGTTGTTCCTGAACTATCTCCGCTTGCTGTCTCTTTGTAAGTCACTGGCTCTGCCCCCCTCGTTTACCGCTTGGGAATTTGGCCTGATCCGACATGAACAAGACCGATCATTCTGTGAACCCGTGTCATTTTAGCTTGGCTGCTACCATGTTGCCTTTTTCCTTGCTTCTGTTGGCTTATGTGTTCATTTTTCTACCGAGGTCTCCGTGATGTTCTGTCCGCAAAGTGAGTTCGTACGGAGGCTTCGACGTTCCATCTGCTTCCCCGCAATCCACGCCTCGACCAAGGCCACTAGCTGGACACTGACCTTACTCTATGCGGATATCAATTTCTTCATCATTGCCTAGATTGTCACGCTTTCCTCTATTACCTTCTCTGAAGATGGCACTAGAATGATAGAATCGGGCAACTCATCCTGACAACTCAAACGCCTCAAAAGAGCCCCTACACGCCAGGGCCGCCCACTGTCTCTCCGAATTGGAACTAACCACCTTGTGTACTTTAGGGTGTCTCGGATACGTGCAACGCTTCCATGGAGAGAGCAAGAGAAGCACTACCACTCGGCCATCTATGCAACCATCCATGAAATCCAACATGTAATGCCGAGAAGAACTCGCGCCTTTGACCTACCTTGGCAAGATTTGCACACATTAGCGATATCAAAGAACCCTTCGAGTGTCTCTAGTTCTATTACCTAACTACCAGCCGTCAAAAAAGCCTTTCTCTACCTCTTGTCCACTGGAAACGGAAAAGGCTAGAAGGCGTCATTTTAGTCGAGGTTTGCCTGAACGCCGTTTGGTTCTGGTCAGTCGAGGACTTCCCATAGCATCGGATCTACTGGTCGCCGTCACCGTTCAGCCTGCCCCCCAGACAACAACATCCACAATTATACGTTTGTAGATATCATCAAGGCTGAAAGGAGTAGTGGTAGTATTCAAAGTGTACGAACGGTTTACTTTTTCCACTGCGTACAAGCCCTAACCCTATGATCTACACTAGTCAAATGCTAGTCTTCTGGGCGGCCAAGACTCGATACTGGTAGGGCTGGATGAAGTGTCTTCGCCAGTAACGCGAGCTTGAAAGCTCAGCACTCCTCCTCGAACAACAACCCTTTCGCCGAGACAAACCCTTCCCCCCACGGTCATCCACGAAGCCGGCTCACACTTCCCCCCTCCTCTCAAAAATGTCCTTCCTCTTCGGCGGCCGACCCCAGCTCTCCTCCGCCGAGAAGATCGCCGCCGCGGAAACCGAGGTCGAAATGGTGTCGGACATGTTCAACAGGTACCTTACCTACCTTACCTTAACCTCCTTGAAACCCCCCCCCCCCAACAACGACGGATTCCCGACCGCTAATCACCCACGCCTGCCTTTTTGCAAAACAGACTCTCCCAGTCCTGCACGGCCAAGTGCATCCCGCCCGAGTACCGCGAGCCGGACCTCAACAAGGGCGAGAGCGTGTGCCTGGACCGCTGCGTGAGCAAGTTCTTCGAGGTCAACCTCAAGGTCAGCGAGAAGATGCAGGGCGAGGCCGCGCAGAAGGGGGGCGCGGGTGGGGGTGGGATGGGGGGGTTTGGGATGTGAGGAGCTGGGACGGGAGAGGGTGGGGAGGTGCGAGGCATGTTCGTTGAGAGTGTTTGAATGTGCTGAGGGTGTGGGAGGGAGGGAGTCGTTGAGTGTTAATGGGATGGTGCTGTTGCTCATGGTGGTGACAGCGTAAGGCTATCTTGTTCAAGAACGATGGCAGGTGTTGGAAACTGCATTGTCACGGCAGGATCTTCACCACACTATATGTACATATATATTGTATTACTACACCTGCTGGATCAACGCCAGGTATGCAGTACGGCGAGGGTATCATGCAATGCGAGATCGAACCGAAGAGGATTACACATTCACCATCCCCAGAAACCACCCTACCCAGGAAACCTTCGCCTCGCCCGGTCCATCAAGCTCTTCTGCTCTCGCTTCAATCTGGAGGACCTGGCGCTCAAAGTCTGCCACCCCATTCTCGACATCTTCAACTTTCGATTCCAAAGCGCTCAATTCATACTCCAGCTTGGCGCCCAAATTTTCAAGGTCTTTAACGGTGTCGGTCAGGTTCGATCGTTCTTCTGACAAAAGATCGTCCGAAGCATCATGAAGAGCGTTGTGTTCATCGGATTTCTGATGATAGATCAAGTCAAGCCTAGCTTGATCGCTGCCAGCCTGTTGCTCGTAGACTTGGATATGGTCGACCTTCTGCTCGACCCAAGATGCTATCTGTGTTTCACAGTCTTCAAGTTGTTGTCCCAGGACACGACCTTGAGCCGCCAAGCTTTTTTCAAAGGAGAGGGCAGTGTGTGCATCATTCCTCGCAGCAATGCTGTCATGTTCAGCGGTACTGTCAACGCCCGCGGCCAAGACATCCACCATTGCTGTAAATGAGAGTTGGCGGGGCCAGCGACGATCCCAGTACTTTGGAGCATTCGCTGAAAGCTTGGGAAGGCTCTTTATAGTGCGCAATGGAGATGAAGATGCAGGGTAGAATTGCCCTTCGAATTCTCGCATCTTCTTGATAGCTGCTGAGTCTTCGAACATAAGTGAGCCGTTTCTCGAATCGTCAAACGGCTCACGCCCTTCAGTCCTAGGTCGTACGCCGGATGCATTTTCCATTGCGCTCACGTAGTCCGATCTATCAGTAGGACCCTGGTCATGAAACGGCGACTCGAGACTCGAAGCAGATTTGTCGAACTCGGCGGAATAGATAACCTTTTTGAAGCCATCCTTCGAATCCCTTTCCTCACGGCGTGGCTTATCATCTGTAAAGCCGCTCCCGCTTCTAGACGATTTCTGAGAGCCTACTAGGCTCTGTTCGCCACTGTCAGGCTGAGCGATTGGATTTGACGAGGCCTGTGTCTTCAGTCCCGGTTCCCCAAGTTCCTCCACACTGGTCCTTGGCTTCTCCTTGAGACTATCTCCGTCAGAAGGGAATTCAACATCTTTGGAATTCTTGTGATGATGTCCACGCAGGCCCCTCATGCCAACTACATCTCTGATTCGTCCCAAGCCACTGCGAGCGTCAGTCGCTTTGCCACTGACGTTTTTGAAAACGGCTTTCCGCAAGCCCTGGTCTTTTTCTGGATGGTCGATGCTCGTGTGTGATCCAATCGAAGGACTCAGGTAGATACGATCAGATAGGACGTGCCGAAGAGATGTATCTTCGTCAACAGAATCGCGCTTCTTGCCTCCATCCTGCTCGTTATCGTTCAGGATCATGCCCTCATCGCCTCCTAGACTACTAAAGACATCACCTTCATTGTTCTTCCGCGGTTTGCCATACCACAGCCACTTAAATCTCTCTCCTGAGCCCATCTGGACGAAGGTTTCGATGTCCAAAGTCTCTATCTCAGCAATTCTGGCTTTCTCGCGTCCATGCACCAATTCCCCACCCTTACCACTGAGCTCTGCCGCAGTAGACTTGACTGCTCGTGGTACCGTCCAACCCTTCCCACTAGCAGCTTTCGCAGTCACCCTGTGCAGCCTATCCAGCGTCTGTCGATCGAATCTTCTGGTGCGTTCCAGTTTCTGAGACCTCTGGAAGTGAGCAATGCCTCTCTTCGTGTTGACAATGTCAAAAACGTCTTTTGCTACAGGTGCTCCAGCAGCATTGAGCCTGTTTCGGGCCCCCATGAGTATTCCAAGAAGAGCCGCAACAGTAGTAGGCCCCAATATGCCATCGCTGGGGTCAATGTTAAAATACTCGGTTCCTAGCTCCGTCCACCAATCATTGATGGCTTGCTCCGTAACATCACAAAGTAACCCATCAGCATATTCGGGGGCCAGTTTCCCGAACAGCAATAGCGCCACCTGACACAGCTTGACAAGCTCAATCACAGCATTGTATAGCGGAATGCGATCACTTGTATGGTAGAGTTGCATGAATTTGGCCTGCGTCGCCCCAATTGGCGGAGATAGGCTGAGGCCTGCTCGCCCCGAGCATCCCATCCGTTTCATATTTTCATTGACTATGAAATCTTCCCTATGCTTTTTGATATCTCCAGCTGGCACCGCGATGACCGTCAACGCAGATGGGAAGCTGCTCAGATTTGTGACCATAAGCGTTCCCAAAGGTGTCTCCTTTTTTCTTGCATGGTATTTTGTAATCGCTTTGAGGTATACACGAAGACGGGGTGACCAAGCTTCCTCGTTCGTTGGGACACTCAAGACTCCTACGACAACCGAGTTTTGCTCGAGGCCTGTGTAGGTGGTGATGACAAATGTCGGATGAACCCTTGAGCATGCCCATTGCTCGACTACGTAGAGCTCATAGCCTGTAAGTCGACGTCTCCGTTCTAGCACCATCGTGGACGGATCTTCTTCAAGGTATCTGAAGGCCGCCGGGTCCGTGAACACAAGACGTTGATGCGCTGCTTGAGGGGCGGAGTCGCCGTTTGTAGGGTCCTTGGGAGACCCATTTGTTTCTTCCGCTCCAACATTTTCAGTCGCAAAATCTCTTTCCTCTGTATCGTTATCCATTATCCCAATCACTCTCTCCAAGCTCTTGTGCAAGCCTCATACTTCGCCTTTTGCGTCGAGAACAGTGGGTGATAGGCCTGCAGTCCTGATTCTGCGTAGATAGAGTAGAAACCATTGAGGACTTCTCATATTCCGGCACATCTTTGAAAAGTTCGAATGTTGTGCGGCGCAAAACGATCGCAGACAGTGGTCGCCGGAAAGCCCGGATAAATATCGGCCCTTTTGCCATCCGCAATCAATCTTCACCTCATGACCTATTCTTCCTGACAAGCTCCTTTTTCTCTTCAAAGCTACTCCGCCGGTTCTCCCAGATACTAACACTACAGATGAATCGATTCTCCAGTTCCAGCCTTTGGGAGAAGGCGTTGAAGTTGCTCCCTTGGACCTAAGTACTAGTGTCTTCTCAATACACTACTTTTTGACTCGCAAGACCTGTATTTACTCTCTGAGTTATGGAAACACTACTTGAGGAGCATGAGAAGCTGTCCCGCAAGGGCAACCTTTCGAAGAGTGTGGAAGATGTACAGAAGACCATTGATCTCCTAGTCAAGGCACGAGACTCAATAGTAGCAAGTACGTTCTGCTCTTTCTCATTGGTTCTCTCGGCAGGATTCTCTGAAACATGCTCATCATTACTTTCAAGACCAGAATAGTGCTTCAGTGACACTAGCCAAGCTCCAGAATCCCGTCAAGCAATCATTCGAGGCTATCAACAGCGACCTGAAAGATGTCTACAAAGGACTTGGCAACTATTCAAAGGCGTTGGATAAGGTAAACAGCACTTCCTTAGGTCCCTACGAGACACAAGCTGAGAGTTGTCTTTACAGAAATTCAGAGACAAGCCCCTGCCAACGACCGATTATGACGCTCTGTCCTCACACCCAGCACTGATCAATCGCGCCATTGCCATGCACCTTCTGAGGGAGGGCCAATTCTCAGTTGCTTCAACCTTTTTGACCGATGCTACCAATAACCCGCCGCGTCCAGAGCTCTCTCCCGGTACACCGAAGCCATACGCAAGCCTTGAGGTAGATTTGGGAATAGATTCCCTCAAGTCAGAATCGCTTCGGAAACAGTTCGCCAACATGTACCATATCCTGCATGAGTTGAAGAACCAGCAGAATCTTCTACCTGCCATCGCATGGGCCAGGGAAAATAGCGATGCATTGGAGACAAGAGGAAGCAACTTGGAGTTCGAACTCTCAAAGCTACAATTTGTTTGGCTCTTCACTGGAGGCTCTAATCCGGACGACGCGAGAAGCTTGCTTTTTGGACAACAGCAAGCGCTTGGATACGCTCGTCGGGAGTTTGCCCATTTCCAAGGACGCTATCTCCGAGAGATTCAACAGCTCAGTGGCGCTATGGCCTTCTGCCCCAATCTGGCTCAGTCTCCCTATCGACGAATTTTCCACAATGAGGATGCCTGGGATGACCTGGCCAATTCATTCACTCGGGAGTTCTGCTCGCTTCTTGGCTTATCCGCGGACTCTCCTCTGTACATTGCTGCCACAGCTGGTGCGATAGCCTTGCCTACTCTTCTCAAGCTCCAGACAATTATGAAAGAGAAGCGAACAGAATGGACGACGCAGCATGAGCTCCCAGTACGCATTTACTCTCAACCCACATATGTGGGCAACGTTGCTAATTGTTTCAGGTTGAAATACCTCTTCCGCCTGCCTACCACTTTCACTCTATCTTCGTTTGCCCGGTGTCGAAAGAGCAGACGACAGACGAGAATCCACCGATGATGATGCCTTGCGGACACGTTGTCGCGCAAGAATCGTTGGCGAGATTAAGTAAAGGGTCAAGGTTCAAGTGCCCGTACTGTCCAAGTGAAAGCAGGCCAGAAGATTCGATGAAGCTTTTTATGTAAGTCAAGTCAGCAGGGGACGATTATCTAACGATTTTACGAAATGGGAAGGCTGCAGTTGCATGGCATTGGGAAAGCATCTGCTGGTTTTTCAGTGTGGGGAAGAGGGCGTGTTGAATGGAGTACCAGGCAGGCGGCCGCAGCTGTCGTCGATCCAGATTGCCGGCCATCTTTGCTGGCGGCGTTTCTCACGCAGGGCACCAGCTAGACTGGGTGTATTCTTCGAGATCTATGGACAATGGCGTCTGCAGGCTGTACTGCCGTTCCAATCAACGACGTGGGGGTGCGCAACATGCTTTATGTCGCGCGTGTGGGAGCGTGTGGGAGGGTGTGCTGTTTGTTACTTCTCCTACTTGGTCTGCTGTCCTTTCCCCTCCTCTTCTCTCTGTCTACGCCTGCTGCTTGCTTGCTTCTTTCCTTCTTTCTTTCTTCCTCGTCCTCCATCTTCCTATATTCCTTTGCGGGAGAGCAAATAAAAGACCTAGGTTTCTTGCACACTCGCTTGAATTCCCCGTAGGGTTCTTGGGATTTAGCCGAAGAGATGGCCCGCATCCTTACGGTACCCCGCCGTTTTGGCCTTGCTCGACTTTTTGCCCAACCCCATCATCATCAATTGCGTTTCTGGTTGGTTCACCGTTTACTACCACCACCACTACTACTACTGCCATCCTCCTTCCACCAGAAAAAGCAATACAATTCTCCCGTGAATTGCAATTTCGGGGCCTTCAGCGGGGTACTCATACATTGTTAGCTCCGCCTGCACCACCACTGGATCGCCCGAACGCTTGCACAACACCGCTGGAAGCAAGACGTCATCCTCCACCACTGTGCTCGCGGACCAGAAAGCACCCTTCACCAGCTTGTCCTCTCCTCCTCGTCCCTCTCCCACCAGCCTCCTCCGTCCTCAGAACAAGGCCTCCATGGCTACCGTGACCGAGACCATCAGCTTGCCCAACGTCGGTGTCTTCACAGACCCTGAGCACAAGCTCTGGGTGGCCGAGTCCGGACCTACACTCGAGAGCGTCAAGAAGGGACAAGACCTCAAGCATGGCGAAGTCACAATTGGGATCAAGAGCACGGGAATCTGCGGGTACTCTATCCTACATTCATCCCCTCCGCCTCTGCTGCTCCTCCTCCTCCTTAATTCTCTCCTTCCTCTACAAACCCCAGACTGATCTCGAACGTCGCACAGATCCGACATCCACTTCTGGCACGCCGGCCGCATCGGCCCCATGATCGTCACCGACACGCACATCCTCGGCCACGAATCCGCCGGCGTCATCCTGGCCACGCACCCCTCGGTCACGCACCTCAAGCCCGGCGACCGCGTCGCCATCGAACCGGACATCATCTGCAACCAGTGCGAACCCTGCCTCACGGGCCGCTACAACGGCTGCCTCAACATGCGTTTCCTCTCCACGCCCCCCGTCGACGGCCTCCTGAGGCGCTACGTCAACCACCCGGCCGTTTGGTGCCACAAGATCGGCGACATGAGCTTCGAAAACGGCGCCCTGCTCGAACCGCTCAGCGTGGCCCTGGCCGGCGTGGAGCGCGCGGGCGTCAAACTCGGGGACCCGATCCTGATCTGCGGCGCCGGCCCCATCGGCCTCATCACGCTGCTGTGCGCCGCGGCCGCCGGGGCCGAACCGATCGTGGTGACGGACATCGACGAGGGCCGCCTGGCCTTCGCCAAGGAGCTCGTGCCGCGCGTGCGCCCGTTCCTGGTGGAGCGGGGCGTCGGGGAGGAGGAGGCCGCGCGGGCCATCGTCCGGCTGGCCGGGGGCGTGCAGCCGGCCATCGCGCTCGAGTGCACGGGCGTCGAGAGCAGCGTCAACGCCGCCGTCCACAGCGTCAAGTTCGGCGGCAAGGTCTTCGTCATCGGCGTCGGCAAGCCCGAGATGCGCCTGCCCTTCATGCGCCTCAGCACCCAGGAGATCGACCTCCAGTTCCAGTACCGCTACGCCAACACGTGGCCGCGCGCCATCCGGCTGGTCGAGAGCGGGGTGCTGCAGTTGGGCCGGCTCGTGACGCATCGGTTCGACATCGAGGATGCCGTCAGGGCTTTCGAGACGGCGGCGGATCCGAAGACGGGGGCTATCAAGGTGCAGATCCAGAGTGAGATGGATGTGCAGTGGTGAGGCGGGGTGGGTCAAGGTAGGGGTTGGGGGTTTACGTGTGGTGGTTAGAGATTGAGAATAGAATAGAGCATGCGTGATATCTGAAATTTCCTTCGGTATGCTAGCATAAGAAGTCTAAAAAAGGATCTGCTATAAAAAATATTGATTGGCTCTTTCAGGGTGGTGGACCCGGTGGGTTGCCTTGCTCATGTGCGAGGACCTTGTCTGCCATGTTCTTTTTCGTCGTAGGCCCATTGAGAACCATCCAATTTGCTTCCTGGTCCGTAGATCGTTACTATCCCACACCCTCTCGTTGGCCACCGTCTCGAGTGGTAGGGCCCAAACCTGGGAGCAAATACTGGAGGCCAAATCTTTGGCCAGAGGTCCGTTAGGTAACAGGGATCGCAAAGTGTCTAGGCCTTGATGGTCCATGATGTCCGCGGAGGAAGAGGCTGCAACGCCGCTTTGTTTCCTCTTCCCCGACGTCTTCATGGCCAGGTTGTGTGTCAAAATGGTCTCTGAGCATTCGAGGAGTGTCGCCCATTATATCCAGCCCAGACCACGTGACATCGTTTCCATCCCTGTGAAGATTTCCGAGTCAGCTTTCCTTCTCCGAGGGCAAAAGCCAGAGAGCAATGAGACAGGCACAAGGTCATTTTTGTTCCTGAAATATGTCTCACGAGTCATGACACGGTATGAGCTAGGAAAGAACAGCTCCCAAATGTACATACCATTCGTAATGGTATACCCGATTCCGCATCCAATGACGACGTCTGAGTTCAGAGCCGAGCGGTCCGACGTTCAAGGGCAGCTGCCCGGCCCGTACGATTCTTCGATATCGGCGTGGAAAAAGGTTACAGTAGATGACACAACTGTAAAGACTCGTTCTTGCGAGCGTTAGATATGCAGACAGACGACACGGGCTCTCGTCTCCGTCACAGATCTGTAGCCCATCAAAGGTTCGTGCTGCGCGGCAATCTTGTCGACGTGTTGCTCCTCTCTTCGCGGGCATGGACTGGACAAGGGGTTCCACGACCTTGGTATCTGCCTCATAAAGGGGCCCGAACCTCTGCAACGCTCCACCTCGCTATCTCCACGCCCAGCTTGAGGTGCCCCTCATCGCATTCCATGAGGATGGCATCCCAGAGCTCTTGACGGTTTCGCTGGCTCTTGGCCGCCCAATCAGCAACTTGGCGAGCTGACCCCGCCGTTAGGAGATCGCAGGGCACCGGTATGCAGCCATCTTCGTAGCGTCTTGCGAAGAAGGCGGGAAAGGTTGCTTTGGTGTTGGCGCCGGTGTGGCAGAAGCGGCGGCACGTTTGAATGGTAGCATACCGGTCATCGAGACACTCGAGGTAGTGAGGAAGTCTCGTGAGGATATCGTTTCGTAGGTCCGTAACCTCCATTCCAGTAGTTACTCTTGGGGCCTCCAACTGCTGCCAAGGGTTTGAGGAGTTCCAAGAGGTTTAACATAGGCCCATCACGACTGGCCGTTGGTGGGCAGTTCCAGCGTTCGTCGGACCGAAAGTGTGGGGGAGAGATGGTGTCTTGAGGGTATGCGGTCCGGAAAACGTTTATGTTTGGGGGCTAGTCCTTCGAATGATGACTTTGATGTCTGAAGGGTGGTGAGAGATATCACACTTAGGTAGCCGCGTCTGGCAAGCGCTACGCAGCTCCGTACATCGCTCTTTTAGAGAAATAGTGCATAAGTTAGCTCTTCAAGAACGACGTTCTCAAGATGGGTATATCTGCTCCAAAATCTCCCCAATCCCGCATTGAAAGAGGACAAAGGCTCAGTAGCGCTGCACAAAGTATCCAACACAAAAGAACAGACAACAAGAGCCAAATCGAACTTCCTGCTTTACGCATTAGCCCTCACGTTGACCCCAACCCTTTCGTGATACTTGTACATCATCCAAAGCCGTTACCCCAAACACCCAAGAAGATCATCAACTCTGTATAACCACCCCTTCCCTGCCCTCGGCATCTTCAACTTGGAATCCAAACACCAACCTAAATAAATCTTTCAGCCAAGCATATTGCCCATGACTCCCAACCATCCACCTCACACTCCTTGCTACATCCGCAGCCCTGGCTCTTCGCACCGGCCCAGGACTCCTTAGTGCTGGATCGCTCGCCACAGCTTTCTTGTAATCTTGTAAAAGTTGAGACTGCCAGGGCTGCGTTCCGAAGGAATTGGACGGCACGGACTTGACGAAGGAGGCGAGGGTGGTGGGGGAGGAGCGTTGAAATCCTGTATTTGCAGCTGCTTTTACGATGAGCAATTTCAGACATGTGAGACGTGCGTCTTCGGCATTGGGCTGGCCACTGGCGGGGTTGATGATTGTGGAAGTTGAGGAGGTCGTACGCCCAGAGGATTGGGAGTAGCCGCTCAAATTGCTAGAGGACGAGGACCATTGCGGTTGGTGTTGCCCTGGTTGTTGGCGGTTATTTTGGTCTGAGGGTCCGAGAACCAGTATATTGGGCACGGGGCCTTCGTCTGGAGAATCTTGCACCGTGTCTTCAAAGACGGTGGTGGGGGTTTCGGGGTTCGCACGGCCAAAGTCCTCCTCTTCGGACTCGTAATATGAATCGGGAACGTGGGCGAAGGAGGCGGCTACTTGTGATTGTTTTGCTTGCTGGAAAGCCTGTGTGAAGGTCGTTTGGCTGGGTCGAGGCGTGCCGCGGTCCGGTCGTATTTGGGTCCAGCCTTCTCTGAAAAGGTCGCAGAGTTCCCAGCACGCTTGGACAGCGGAGCCGAGGAGTTCTTCATCGGCGGGTTTGCCTTCTCGTTTGTTTTGGCGGAGGCTGAAGAGCATTTCGGCGAGGGACCAGCAGGCTTCGAGAAGGGAGTCTGTTTCTCGGGCTAGGTCGGAGCGTTGTTTCATCAGACGGTGGCAGAGCGTTATGTAGAAGTCCAAGGTCCGTTCTCGAAAGGCTTCCGGCAGTGTTCGGTCGTGAGTATTGTACAGATGGTTGTTGAGCTCGAAGCTGACCCGTAGGACGGAGTCAGCGACGTCGTTGTCCCGCCGCCGTACTTCAAAAAGGCACTGGCAAAAGTCGCGGCAGAGATCCAGTGTGGGTCGGACCTGAGTGGCTATCTCTTCGTCTCGTGTTTCGTACAGCTTCTGGCAAAGCTTCCAACATGATTTCCAGGCCTGTTCTTGCATGTCACCTTTGGCGGAGAAGCTAAAATGCGACCTTTCGTCACTGAAGATCCTCTCGCGATGTATATAGCTCAAGCCAGCTAATGTATTGCATAGTGTCCAACACTCGCTGAGCGCGATCTTGAGGGCTGCAACTTCGTCGGCAGTTTCCTGAAACCGTTCGACAGTGTGATCAAAAAGGGAAGTGTGGTGGTTGGGAGTCAGGTCATCGTTAATTTCGGTGTCCAATGCTTCTGGAATATCTGGTTTCAAATAAGCGCCCAAACGTTTGATAGATGGCATTAATGACTACCTTCGAGATTGCTCGACCGCGAGCTCGACCGTGAAGTATTATTAGGTTTCTTGGGCTCTAATGTCTGCGCCTCTGCCTCTGGTCTTGTTTGCGCTCTAGGGGTAGCCGACCAATCTCTTGTAATTGGTGCTATTGAAGTTTGTAGGGGAGGCGGCGAGCTCGGACTGCTCGAGAATTTCTGCAAACATATTACTATCGGTAGCCATGCTCGTGCAATGAAGGATCTACCTTGTCCCCTCCATTGTCTTCCGGAGGCGGTACAATGACAATGTCAGATGCTTGGGAAGAAGTTGGCATGGAACGATGTAGCGAAGGGGGCGACTGTCGGTGCTTTTGACTCAATTAGCAATCTATAATTGAGCTTCGGGCTGGCCTGTTGGACCTCACAAATGCGTCGAAACCTTGCGGGGCATGTATGACCGAGCTTGGTTGTTCGTCATCGTCTGATCGTGGCTTTCGAGCATCTGAAGCCGCGTTGGCAGTTTCGAGCTAGAGAGTCTTAAGTCTACTGTTGCTTGTCTTGTATGGGCAAGGCGACGGGCATACCTTCAATGCCGGTTCTGTAGACCTTAAGGGCGCTGGGGGCTCTGGTGGCATTGGTGTAGGATCTAAATCTTCATTCTCTATGCCTGTATCGTCAATGTCGGTCGTGTCGGTGCCGTTTGAAGAGGTAGCGATAGGTGAGGGGTCAGGAATGTCACTGGGACTTGAGGCTAGTGGGGAAGATTGATTGGGAGGATGGAGGGATCTGGCGTGTTCGTTGGACCTGACACGTCAGCTTGGTTGTAGATTAGGAGAGACCGGGCATACAATGGCCGGCTGTGGGTACTCGTAATTGGAGATCTGAACGGCGCTGGCGACGTGGGCGATTCCGAGTACGGCGAGAAAGCCGACATGAGGTTGCGATCTGGGGACGGCAGCATCGGCGATTTCAACGCCATCATTGTTGAAGGATACTCGGCGCGATCATAGAAGCTGCTGGCCTTATTGGCGAGCGATTGCTTCCTGAGATACTTGTTGGGATGGGCGCTGATGATGTGGGAGCAGTTTGGATGATCAAGGCTAGAAGTATCTGCGGGGCAGCATTGGAGGAGTCGAGAATAAGGCTACAGGTCGATATGCAGACCGTTGATCATGGGATACTCGAAGCTGGTGTACTGGTGGGGCTCTTCGGTCAAGGCTTGCAGTCTCTATGGATGATGACTGCATTCGACGTCGCTGGCTTGAAGATGTACCAGTCATCGAATAGGATTGTCAAGAAGTCTAGGTACATTTGCTTTGCCGCAACGTGACTGGAGGAGTCGAAACACCAACCCACGCCAACGCGAAAAAGGACCTTTCCCAGGCTGTCGGAAGGCTGCAGCATGCAGATAATAGTCAGTTAGTCTGGTCAATAGTGAAATGATAAAGTTCTAGAGGCTGTCAGCAAAGGCTTTAGATCTGCATCCTGCATTGAAACGCAGTCCTATCTTCTGACGCAAGAATGCTCAAACCTCCTCCGCAACAGTCGCTATTAGCTCCTCTATTGGACGAGAAGCGGGGACAGCACATCGAAACATCACAAGCTTTGGAGCACTTGGGAGTCTTCTGATTGGACGAGCGAGCTGTAAGCGCCCAGCGGGAGCTACACATCTTCAGGGTGGTGCACGGGTCTTCTCTTTCCTTCCCTGCTTCCCATGCTTCCAATCATGGAGGCAAAAGAGCTGTTTGTTTCTTAGTTTTCGAGACGGCTTGGGCATCTATCGACGGCTCTTCGGGTAGGCTTGCGGCGAGAGCGGGGATGATACCAGCTCCAGGGCACAGGTAGCGATGCCGAGCGGCCTGACTTGATAGTAGGACATTATCTCTGTACGGATGACAGTTATAGATGGAGACACTTGTCCAGATGACATTGGTAGGGTCAACGTCAAAGGTGCCAACATTGATATTGCCAGTCATTTCGGACGCTATAGCTACTGAGACAAGGACACGAGAAGAACGCATAGAAAAGGTTTTTGGCACGTAAAGGGGAAAGATAATTTGAAATGTTACGCGTTGGAGAATCACAAGAAACTCTGAACTTTTCGCTATCCGCCTCTCAACTTCTGCATCTATGCATACTTAGGATGTACGGCCAGGAAGTATGATGCTACCCATCCAATTGACACGATCTCTGTAGCTTTCCATGGCCCTTTCTATGCCACTTCTTCTTCTCACGTCCAACGCCGAGCTCTGAGCACGAAAGCTGTCTTGTCGAAGAAGCTCCAACGTATGGGCGTTGCCGAGAATCCTCTATCGATCCTTCTTGGGCGTGGAATCAGCATTCTGCTTGCTGTACTGATCCCCCAAATTCCCATATTCGCGGCTCAGGCCCTCACTCTGCTTCTTGAGCGCCTCAATGTCCCTATCCTTCTGCGCCAACTGGTTCTTCAGCTTTCCGATCTCTCCAGCACCACCTGCCTGAGCAAGTTTGTCAGAGTCCTTGCCTGAAGCCTTGGGGTCACCTTCGTAGCGCTTGACTTTCTCTTCGAGACGGAGCGTGTCGAGGATCATCACGTAGGTGCGGTTGAGGATGAGGGAGAGGAAGAGGGTGAAGCCGCAAAGGTACATGTTGCGTTGGGAGTAGAATTTGCGGGCTTGCACCTCCATGCGGCCGGAGCCTTCGAGCATGGCGGAGCTGGTTGGACGTTAGTGATACCCTAGGCTTGAACATGTGGCTGAGACGTACTTTTGGCTGCTCTTGGTTTTGGCCAGCTCGACTTGGACGCTGTAGACACGGTTCACACTGTCGATGAACAAGATTAATATGAAGATGAACGTAATCTATCGTCGTGTCAGCCGCTTCAAACGCACATGGGTACCAGTGCAGAGCTACCTTCATGCCATATTGCAGCTTCGCTATGAGCGGATTCTCGGAGATGAAGTTGAAGAGCTTGCGCTTCATGGAGTATGGTAGAGGGACGATGAGCATTCCGAAGACGCTCATCTCGAACACCAGGAGTGCGAACACCTAGGCAGCCATTGCGTCAGCAGCCGATCATGAAGGAAGAGGATGGCATTGGTATGAACCGGAGCATAGATTAGGGAAGGCATTGCTGCTGTGGATTATGGAGATTGTCGATTGTGGATGATGTTGAAAGCTGTTTGTTGTGGTGAAGAAGGGAGATTACTTGCCAACGTATAGTACAAAGTCATCGTGGCGGGTCAAAAACCGGGAACGTGCTATGATGTAGTTTTGGCGTTGCTACGTTACTCAACTTTTGATACGTCCTTGCTTTTTGTACGCGATTCTAATGTAACTATCAAAGTTGTAGAGTGTTTCCTTCTCGGTGCCAAAAGAAAAGAACAACAGTAGCGGTGTTGAGTTGGGAAAACAAGGAAGGCTCGATATGGCAACCTGACAAGTGACACGAAGCGGCCTCGGCATCATTTTTAGGCGACAAATCAGCACCTTGCCTTAGGTATTTCTACAGACTCTACCTACTCGTAGATTATTCACAGGCAGAGGACAATAGTACGCATTCGATGCAATTATGATCACATGCTGTGGTAAAGTCTTCTGCCGTTCTATCCTGTTCTCATCTAGGTAATAGACTTTTATAAAGCTGTTGCAAGCCTCTAATATACTTCATCCACCATATAAATCAAGATATTCTATGGTTTGCATTTTCGCTTGCTAAAAACGTATAGAGCTCCGTCTTAGATATCATGTCTGAACTGGGAGTTGGCTGATTGTAGCAAAGCAACTAACCCTCGGCCTCGATCTCGTAGCTATTCGATTTATGCTTCGGTTGGAAATTGAAATCCTTATGGGCTGGACCAAGAAACATCTCACTGCATATTGTCAGCATCTGCGTCAAGGGAAGCTTCTATCTATAGGAATCACCTGATCTTGATCCAGTCCTTATAGTTGTCGCTCCCCAGAAGCGTTTCGAGATCATTTCTCCCTCTCCAAGCAGGCGGTCGGTCTTGCAGGCACGGTGGTAAATGCTCAAGGATCCCAACAGGAACATATCTATAAGCAAAGCTCAACCACTCAAGCAAAAATCGCCTGGTGATCCCAACACCCATCTCATCAGAGCCCCATGTCTCCAGACCGTATCGAACGTATTGCTCAACCAGGGCAAGGCGCTCACTAGCCGGTTTGTCAATGTATTGCCCTTGTTGAATCTCCTCGAATATCCACTATAAAAATTTCGGAGTTAGCATCCCTTCTTCACGGCAAAGACCGTTGCAATGAGATGACTCGAAGGGGGCAGCAACAGCCTTTTGCTACCGTGAAATGGGTTACGACCCGAAGAACGGCCCGGTGTAGGGAAGAATTTCCTCGACAATTGTACATACAGGCTTGATGAGTGCACCTCGTGCAATCATGACCGAGTCGACTTTCGCTTCTTCGAGATGAGTGTTGTAGTCAACGTGAGAATAGCAATCACCATTGCCGAGGAAGTAAACCTTGCTTCCGGGCTGTGACCTCTCATCCGCCTCCCGGACAGTATCAGAGAGATCCTCTCCTTTCTGGTTGTAATCTCTGATGAGAGCAGCACATTCAGATATGTACTTCCAGTCAGCATTTTTCGTGTATCTCTGTTGTCGGCTTCGACCGTGCAGTGTAATCGCTGCAGCTCCTATATCGACTTCGGGGTCAGCGTTCCGTCTTCGAGGTAAGATCCCAAGCAATGAGACAATTCGAAGGAATATTTAGAGCGTTTTGGTGCCGAACAATGTCTCGCAAGTCGTAAAATTGGTTCAACACAGGAAGGAGTGGTTCCGAAAATGTACGTACCAGAAGGCCCACCACCAAGCTCGAGGGCTTCCTGGCCGCCGTATACCAGCCGATCCACCAATTTCAGGGCACTCGGCTTGTTGTCCTTCGTACCCATACGGATCTTAACCGTGATTGGTATCTCTTCAGAGATGGCATTCATCCCGCGAACGATCTTCTCTAGCTTTCCTTGGCTGTCGAGAAGGGCAGATCCGGCTCCTGTACGGTAGACAAGATCGATTGGACATCCGCAGTTCAGGTCAATCACCCGTAGATAGGGGCATAGCTGAGTCAAGACCTCCGTGGCCTTGAGCGCTTGCCATGGCTTGTTCGCAGCGATTTGAGCTCCGAACTTGAAGTCTTTTGTGTTGTTGTAGTCCTTTACAACGGGGTCGCTGGGTTGGTAGGCTGGCGGAGTGGCTTCCGACTCGTGAGCCCGCATCAGTGCCCACTCAGACCTCTGTCCTTGTATCAAAGGCAGGCTCATGGCCATTTCAGAGTATGTGACTTGAGCGCCTTGAGCAACGCACAAACGCCGAAAAGGTAAGTTACCTTGCGTAGTCAGAGGAGCAAGCACAGGGGTTTCTGGCCCAAAGTAGATCCTGCGTTTCTCGGATGGCAAAAAAGGAGGTTCGGTGTATCGTGCTCTGTTGTCTTCGATTTCCGTCTTTTCGGGCTTGATCTCTGATCCGAGAGGGTCTTCATCGCTTTCTTCCCATCGGCTTTTGGCATTTCTGCGGGTATTTTCGTCAATCTCTTTCCCACTTTTCTCAATCCACTGACTGTATTGATCCGCTTTGGGGGTCTTGAATTTGCGTTTCATCAAGTCATTCTTTGCCTGTGTAGATATCTCGTTGATGGTTCCAATATCTGAAACGCCAGAACGCGCTTTCTCACTATAACCACCAACTTCTTCGGTAAGTATCAACTCCTTTCTTCCGTCTTCAAGAGATCTCTCCCTCATGTGTGATCCGACAAAACGACACTTGAATCCAACGTCACATTTACCTTTCGCTTGCCTATGGAAAGTGCAGAGTCAGCATTTCTTCTTCAAGGGAAGATCTCGTGATGAGACAGTTTTGAGGGGTTAGACAGAGCCCTTTGCTTCTGAAACACGGCTTGCGACTCGAAACATAGTGTGAAATCGGAATCTTTGGTCCAAAACAAACATACCATATTGGACAGACCCCGCCAAACGTCGTTAGATCTTCTCTCTTCCAGTCCTTCAAATACTTGCGGAGGTCATGCTCAAACTTGCAACTGTCTCCAAAGCGACACTCACCAGGGGAGAACTCCGGACTATTGGCACGACTTGCACATAGACCCACTTCGTCTCTTGAGGCTCCAAAGTTTCGGTTCGTATTCTGGCCTCGAGACTTTTCCTTTTTCTTGCCCCTTTCGCCGCCTTTAGGCTGGTCAACATGGGCAGCGCCTTCAGCGGCATCATCATCCGCAACAGCAGCACTTTTGTTCCCTTTGCTACCAGCCGGGTGCAAAAGGAACCTGATCCGCGTAAGCTGGCTACTCATAGAATTGCATTGAAGATACTGACTCTTTTTTGATTGGAACAACGCCCTTTTGTCTTTCACTTCCTATGGGGCCTTGAGTGCCATTTTCCGAATCCAATCTTCTCCGTTTTGATGGCGATTCCTCTACATTATCGGCAATGCCGTGTCTCTCAAACTTCTCCGCCTTGGTCACAGCAGAGTCTTCCGCCGTTGGAAGCTGCTGGGGATGGACAGTCTTGTCAAGCAAGTCTGAGTTGGAAGATTCCTCTAATTTGATAGCTGGCTCCAGAGGGTTGGGAGGTGGGTGGCCACTACTGTATTCCATCTCCGCCATAACAAGAATCTGGCCCCTGTGTCAGTCTCGTAATGAGGCTGTAGACTCGATCATAGGTCATAGTCATATGCTATGCAGGGGTGTTGGAGAACTAGCAGGAAGCGTTGGTTACCTTCAAGGTCTGGTCTTGTTGTCGCTACAATTGCAACTTTTGCCGGCAGCAGGCCTGTTGTTGAAGGTAAGGTACTTAAAGCCGACAAATTCGCCCAGGAAGCCCTGTCCACCCCCCTCCAACTCGGGCGGGATGTATATAACCTTTGCAAGCCCTGCAACAACGTGGGAAATGGATGATGATCGCGTGCCGTCAAAGTCAAATAGTACAGTACAGTATGATGTATCAAGGTATTGCTTTCAAATTCCCAGGTATCTCGTATGTCATAGCTATAGGTCTATGCTTTTGAAGGGGCGATGTCCTTCTACCTTGCGGTCGCTCAACTCCGACTTGGCAAAGACACTGACAGCTGAATATTAAGGTATTATGATGTTCATTACCAACTCACTCCGATTGTTGCCTCTTTTGCCTCTTTTGCCTTCCGCCTAAAGTCAGTCAGTTGAGAAGGGAGGTAAGTACTCGTACTGTTGTATATGCTACAATAGACTAGGTACTTTCATTGGAACGGTACCCGCTTGGAAGCGGCTCAACTCTATTTTTTGAGCTTGAAAGTTGAAGCCCGCCATCGCCATTCGCTCCTCCCGAAACTCCCCCGTCTGACTGCGTCACTCACACTTCTACTTTACATAACTTACTCATAAGAACAAGGCGACAATAGCATTCATATTCACATTATTGAGTAATACGCTCGCAAGCACATCGAGTTGTATATATTCTTTTTAATAGCATCTACAATTATCCCCCTGTCCCTGTCCTGGTCCGAGTCCTCAATACTCACTCACCGCCTATTCTTCCCAAGAGTCCCAAACCCACAAACGTCGTAAAGCTGGATTCCCAAGACACCCCACCACCTCTGCACTTTTCGCCAGCTGCGAGCGATCGCGAACGCTCATCGACGGCAGAGACGACTCCTATAGGCACTCCAAGGGGCTTTGGCGCTGCTTTACCGCGCAAAGCAGACAAGGAGAAGGAGAACTGGCTCGCTTGGCACCACAAGCACAGTGGGTTTGGCGGTAGTTCCTACGTGGACTCGACCCTTCTCGATTCCGACTTCGAGGATACCACTTTTCCACTCTTCAATGACCCGGCACCTTTCCTAAACATGGGGAGTCGTACCACACCCATCGACATCGCCACATCTTCTCGCGCCGCTTCCCCTCGGAATACCCAGACCTCGAATCTCACCTCTGCTCTCCAATCTACCTCTGGCAACGAGGCACGACCAACCACCGCAATGGACATGAGTGGGACGCCATTCAAAGGATTTGGAGGATTTGGAGGAGCTACACCAGCGTCTCAGCACAGCGAGGCGCAACCCATATCAGTGAATGCCTCCAACCGAGAGAAGCCACGGAGGGAGAGTCTCGCTGGTAGCATGGTCACTGGCATGAGCTGGGGTGGTAATTCAGTCGGAAGTTGGATTCGCGATGAGTATGTCTCCACCGCACAATACTTTTGGCAGACAGCGTCGCTAACATTGTCCAGTATCATCATGCAAGGGACTTCCCCTTTCGCTTACCAATCTCCGTCATTTCATTCTTCGTCCTACCTTCCCAAGTTGGAGGCCAACTTCATGCGAGACTTTTCATGCTGCGGAATGACGCTTCCTTCGCTCCACGAATTACTACAACATTATGAGGAGAACCATACGGATCAAGTGCAGCCCTCGATGCAAAAGCAGATTCCAATTGGATCAGCCGTTCGAGCAGATCCCAAGGCTGCGATCGCAGCTACAACGGTGGACGCCGTACGGAGCCAGGGTCGAGCTCAGCAACAACACCAACAACAACAGCAGCAGGCCGAGTCATCGCAAAAAGGACAAGCAACGCCTCAACGCTCGTCTACTCCAGTCACTCCAAGACAGGCCCAACCTTCGGCGCAAGTGACCCGAGGCTTCGCGCCTATGCAGCCTAAGATCGAACCAGACGACGACGCCATGGGGGACATGGAAATGGATGATGACTTTCCAAACCTACAACAGACAAATTATCCAGCGCAAAATCAAGCCAGGATAACGCAGCGGTCTCAGTTCGGTCAACCTGCTTCAAGTAGGTTACCAAACCTGGATATCAATACCATGAACATGGGTAATCCATTGCAACAACATCAGGGTTTACGGAACTCTCAACCTACAACTCCAGTGTCGGCTGGCAGGAACGGAACTTTATACTACAACAATCCTACGGTATCGTCGGTGAATACTCCTACTCTGACCACATATCCCAGCGCGCATCCTCTGCAACAGCAATACTATACACCTGAATCATCAACTCCCGGTACACCTGGCGAATTGGAGGGAGACTTCCTTGGCAATTTGGGAAACATGAACATGGGCAACATGCAATACATGCAGAGTCAGAATCAAGGATATGTTGGCTTCGACTTTAGCAATGATAGCGGCGGTATGGGCGACTATTGCATCGACGAGCCTGCAAAAAGACTGTTCAGCCTCAACGGTGGCTTCAACCGACCGCAACAGCCTGCTCAACCCACTTCGGCTACTCAGCTCGGCGATGGGCAATACAGCGAGAACAGTGAGCTCGCAAAGACGATAAGAGAACAACAAAAGCTGGCCGGTGTGCCTGATCCCTCAGCTGATGGCGGTGTGCCTAAACCTTTCCACTGCCCCGTTATCGGGTGTGAGAAGGCATACAAGAACCAGAATGGCTTGAAGTATCATAAGAGCGTAAGCATTCCAAGCTCTCTTTCTACATTGGCCTCTACTAATTGCAACCAGCACGGCCACAACACTCAAACTCTCAAAGACAACAACAACGGCACCTTTTCCATCGTCGATCCCGAAACTCTGGACCCCTATCCTGGTACTTTGGGCATGGAAAAGCACAAGCCATACCGTTGTGACACTTGTGGGAAACGCTACAAGAATCTCAACGGCCTCAAGTATCACAAGAACCACTCTCCAAACTGTGATTCCGAGATCCAGAATCCGTACCCTCATCCTACCAGCAGGACTGACATGTCTGACATGTCGACCAACGAGATGGTCATGTAAGAAGACCAACCTGGGCGGGATGTGATTTCGAGGCCCGGCTGTGTACCAGTACCGTTTTCCTTTGTGTCAATACTTTCGATTTGCAGGGTGTTGGGGAGTTCTTCCATCGCATTCCACTGGCGCTAGGGTCGCATACATACCCTAGATTCCCCTCGCTGCGATGTACTCGTGTACACTATTGTTTCCTGTTTCTGGCAGCGGAAGAAGAAGACCGGACGTGCTTTCGTGGACGAGTGGTGGACATTACCAAGCTTAATCGGCGGCGTGGTTGGATAGTCCGACTGCAGGCCTTTCGACTTATTCCATCAGGAGAGGAGAGGGCAGAGCTGTATTGCATAAGCTGCATTGGTAGATAGATAGGTTTTACGGTTTACAGAATTGAGGAACCGGATTTCATCTCGTATTTTTCCCCTTTTTTTTGGCTCGTCAATGGAGCGTACTGATACGGTTCTCCTCCCTCGTCTATACGGTCAGGGTATTGACTTGGTGGTCCTAATGTTCTTGTAAAACCAGCGACGAATTTGGAGCCGCAAATCAAATGGTCGTTTTCAAGGGCAGCTTGCCTGACGTTTGTTCTTGTTATGTCTCTACGCTAATCATCCTCTTCGGAACCATTTCCCTCTTCATCCATATCATCCTCCTCATCCTCTTCAACCCCATCGAGCATCTCCACATCCCCATCCCCATCTCTATCTTCCTTTTCCCCTTGAGCTCTCCTCGCTTCATCCTCCCTCCGACTCTCGCCCAACACCCTCTCCTTTTCTTCCCTCTGCTTCCTCGACCCGTCGACATATGCGCCCAGCGGCGTCTCCTCGACGGGCACATCCCGAAGGAAGTTGTCCACGCCCTGGCGGTCGCTGGGGCCGAAGCTGACGCTGGCCCGGTGCCCTTCCACGTATTGCGCGTTGGCTGAGAGCTTCTGCAGGAGCAAGGAAATGGAGGCGTTGAGTTTGGCGTTCTTGTTGCCCTTGCCTTCGCGCTCGGCTCTGTTGGTTGCGGATTTGTTGCCCTTGGAGGGGAGGGACGAGGCGGTTCTGAGCCAGCGTTTCAAGGCCACCGTGGGCGGGATGATGAGTTCGGGGAAGGCGATGTGTTTGGCCCAGCAGCCGAAGAATTCGGCCAGGAGTTCTTGGACCTGCTGCCCGAGTCCGTCTTGGTAGATGCGGGTTCGGAGGTAGGATTTCGGCACCCGGAGGGCGACGGAGAAGTCGAGGGGTGGGAGGGTTGAGGGCTTAGGCGGCTTCGAGAGGTCGGGGGATGAAAGGACTTCGAGGAGTGCGGGCGCTAGCGGGATGTAGGTTGATGTTGTTCGGGACACGCGGAGGAGGGAGCGGGTCAGGTGGAAGCGGAGGGGGAAGTATGTCGGTGTCGGGATTAGGCGGAGGGCGCCCAAGGTGATTTGGACAAGAGGGTAGATCAGGGGATGAAGGGGGGAGGCCGATGGAGATTTGAGGAGGGGGTTCGAGCAGTGCGTGGAGAGGACCCGAGACCAGAAGTCGAGACTATGGGTGTATTGCCAGTTGTAAATGGTCTTGTACGAGTCTTTCGTGGGGTGCGTGATGCTGGTTCGTAGGTGGACGGCGAGTTGGCGGATGTAAGTGAAGCCTGTTGTGTAGCCGATGTTTGGATCCAGTCCCCATAGTTCGGCAGCGGAGTTCTTCATGAGATTAATGCCGGGGAGGGTATGGATGTTTGTGATTCTGCTGCCTTGGACGAAACCCTGGTAGGTGCTTTTGAGGACTGCTTCGCGGAGGGAGGCATCGCTTATGACAGCGAGGCGTCTGATGAGCATGAAGGCGGTGATTCGGGTGGCTTCGTCAGTCGAGGTGTCGGACCAGATGTGGACGGTTGTCTTGATGAGGTTTTTGAGGACTTTTTTGAATGATAGGAGGTATGGCAGGAGGGGAATCAGACATAGTAAGGTCATTTTCATGGTTGGAGCGTCTGATAGGTTCTCCAAGAGGTGATGTATAGATGCTGAATGTGATTTCAGTAGCGGTGTAAGGGTTCGATACTTCTTCGAATCAGTCGCAATGCGTACTTTGCCGGAACTTGACTCCTTTGCTGGTAGGTGGTGGCTTAGCACTTTGGGGACATGCTCGAGTGCAGTCAAAAGTAGCTCGTTATAGACGTCTGGACTTGAGATGGAATACTTGTGCTCTTTGTCATCGTCCGAATTGACATAAGCAGCCGCCCTGAATGCGAGAACAGTTTGACGCATGGCACGTAATGAGTGTTGTTCCACCATTGCAGTCTTCCATTTGCGGACCATGGCTGTTGTGACCTCCGACTCGTCATCTTCGGCCTCTTGCTGCACCTCCTTTTTGTCTTTGGACTTCTTCCGTTTCTTTTTCGGGACCTCTTCCTCCTCGCTCAATTGATCGACTTCTGCCAGGTCTGCATCTTCACCAAAATCCAGCAACTCAGCATCATTTTCCTTGAGATACTTGTAGAACTCCGGATCTTTCTCGGCCAACGCATCCAGGTCGTCCTTGTGTGCTTCTAATCCATCTTCCGGGTCGGAGCCCATCTCGTCTTCGCTGGCGAAAGGGCTGCCCTTCTCTGGGACACTATCGTCTAATTCGTCATCTTCGTCTTCACGCTTCCTCTTTCCTGTCTTTTGTGCTACCTCCTTTGTCTTGACAGCCTTCTTCCCCTTGGTCTTCTGTTCCGGGAGGTCGAAGCCGCCCTGGAAGAACTCATCGACACTCATTTTGCTCAAATCAGCAGCTGCGGATCCATTGGCCTTTGTCGGTACCGCAGGCTTGTCTTCATCATCAGGTGCTCTAGCCTTGTCAGCTGCGTTCCTAGCCTGCTTCTTGGTTTTGATCTGCTGGCGCTGCTTGATCTTGGCGACATCTTTGCGCTTTTCGATGGCATCTTTGAGGTGATTCTTCTCGAATTTCTTCGTAGACTTCTTCGCCCGTGCAGGCATGATGATGTCGTAACCTTGTAGCAGCACTACTCTTCGACTAGGATAGCAGTGATATGTCGGATGGGCGAGAAATGCTATGCGTTCGCTCGTGGACGAAAAATTGATGTTGCGAACAGCTGAGAAAGGAAAGTGTGCCGAATCGCTTCAATCTAACCATTTCTCCCATTCCTGGCGCTGCCAATATTTCGAACATTCTAACAAGTATCCTCGACTGGCAAGACTGTACCCATGACCAAGTGACGTAACCCCGCATACTGAGTACCGGTTATGATCTACCTGGCATACTCCCTGTCGTCGAGTATCGACTACCGACGAAGGATTCTCATTCCACTTTCCAGCCTGCCCAATCGCTAAGCGCTTTCCGACCCGAGTCGGCGAGTAAGGCTTTGTCAGACGCAAGTCTGATGAACGTCTAGTCAAGAAGTCTACAGAGAATATTAAGTATACAGACTACCACATTCACCACGGTGCAAATTGCTTATGCCGTCTGATCATTACAGCAAACCCAGCGTTCAAGAATCTGGTGTCGATCATTCCAGATAGGTATCCTACCGTACCTACATCAAATGAAAGACCATGTTGAAAAACAGCGCATGAACAGCATTATCGTATTGGGGCTTGTCGGAACCGAGCCTACTTTACTTTACTTTACCTGCACCCTGGGCCACAACGTTTGTGGCACGCCCTTTGGAAATACGACTGTCGAACTCGAATGTACAACAAGTCATATTTTATTTTCTAGCGCAGTGCTGACATCTGCTGTGCCCGTCGGGTTTGACTTTGGCATTCTCGTATTCCAATGTTGGGCCCCTATGTTGTATTTTTGGATCTAACGAACCCAATGTTTCAAGCGAATTTCTGTCCTTGCCATGAAAGCTCCTACCTACCTACTTCTGCTGCCACTATTGCTTCAACTCTTGGTTTCTATACATATTATTATTACACTTGGTTGCAAACTCCCAGCCTTGAAGTCTGCCGCATAGGAGATCTAGATAAGTACGCAGTTTCAGTCCAGCCGCATCTTGAACGGGTAACCACCACATCTAAGACACGATTCGCCCGGATCGCGCTGCAATTAAACTTCTCATTACTGTGCTACTCTACCGTACTTTGCTTTCCCACCTTTCTATCAACTCCTATTACCGTATTATTCTTTACTCCATGTAAGGGCGGTTTTGCCGAACTGTGTTGCACCTGGCACCACGTTCCCGTATTGATATCAAAATGTGGCGGCGTAGTCGTTTGTCGCATAATTACCTATCTTCCTCCTCCTCCTCCTTCATATCGTGCGGAAGGCTCCTCTCTTGAACGCTCTCGTGATTTCAGACCTTGCATCCTTCAGTTGACATGCTACGCTACATGTACTAGTACATAATCGGATTGTTTTCCTCTGAGTGATAATCCGCCATTGCGCCTTAAACCTTCTCTCTAGCTATGATGCTTGTTTCGTCAAAATCATTGTTGACTTTCTTAGCTCTTGTTTGTACATTCTTTCTTTATACTCACGATCACTTTTCAACATCACCCGATGATTACGCCGTGCCACCGTCGACCACGTCAGAGGCGACCATCTTCGACTCAAAAGCCAGCACTCCGCAGAGTGCCCTTTCCTCGGATATTCCTCCAGCTCCCGCAAACTTTGTGCCCGAGACTACAGATCGTACCGGCCATGTCTCGGAGGAGATGCGGCCCAGGATCTTGCAGGCGACCATGATGTTCGGCGATAAGTACATCGGACTCAACGAGCGAACCCTCCAGAGCCACGTTGATCACGCGAAACGCTGGGGCTACGGAGACCATGTACTGAGACGGGAGATTGTGGGAGCAGGCCAGTGGGACAAGTTCATCTTCAGCAAAGTCTTGCACGTCCAGAATCTAATAATTGGAGAATTGAAGAGGCCAAGAGAGGAGCGGGCAGAGTGGGTGATGTAAGTCTTCTGATCCGTGTCGCTGCTGTAGGATTACGCCAACACTCAATGCAGATGGTATGACGCAGATACCTTGATACTTAATCCAAATATAAAGTGGGAAATCTTTCTTCCTCCCGACACCTTTCCCGAGATCAATTTCATGGCCACAAAGAACCTTGATGGCTTCAACGCCGGACTTTTCTTCTTCCGCGTTGACGAATGGAGCGTCGAACTCCTCTCCGATGCATATTCGCTTCCCAGACTTCGTCCCGAGATCGACATTGGAGGCAACATCGAGCAGAACGCTCTGAAGTACCTTTTTGGTCAAGAACCACATAAGAAACATATCATTTATCAGCCCCAAGCCTGGTACAATGGCTTCAAGGGCGATGAACGCGCCGAAACCGAGATCAATGGAGGAGACTTGCTCGTGCATTTTGCGGGAATCAATCATGACAATGAAGAAGAAAAGAAAAACGAGCTAATGAGTCAGTGGTTTGCGAAGATCGAGGCCCAACCGGATGAATGGGAGGTTCCTGTCGAGAAGACAAAGTACCCAGGAGAGATCGAAGCGTTCTGGAGGACGTATAAAGAAGCGAAGGATTTGCTGGATACTGTCCATGTTAGGCCCGACACTCAATCAGGTCCGGATCAGGACGTGAAACGTGCGAGGGATGAGCTGAAGTGGGCGATTGAAGAGCTGGCGTACGATGCCGCGCATTTGAAGAAGTGCATGATGGATATGGCGCAAGCATTGAGGGCGGCTGAGAACCCACAGGTGCTAGCTGGGTCTGGCGGTCATGCAGATCAGCAGGCGTTTGGGAGTGCTAAGGAATATACGCGGCCCGCAGTTGGCGGACAGGATCGTTCTCTGGACACTCAAGAGCAGTTTGCGACTGACACGGTTGTGCAGGACGAGACTCCTGAAGCATCACGACGATTCAAGAGTTCTCCAGAGGAGCAAAACTCTGCTGATGATCAGGCACCGATCGGTTATGCCGATGTCAGCGTTGGTTGAAGAGCTCAACCTGCCTAGGAAGGTGCAGCAATCAGGCTCCGTACGATTCTAGACGGCAGTACCTATTCTCCAAGCATACTGCGTGTCTTGCCGTGGGGAATGTCAGGCGATACAGGATATTCTATCAGCGTCGACACCAACATTGGTCCAGTCTGTCGCAGTTATTACTGCAATTAGGCAATATTTGTGAGCATCGACCGGTGCTCCCTCGAACAACTAACCTACACCGCCGATAGAAGGGTATGGTGGACTTTCATGGCGAGGGTTTCTATAGTGTCTGGAGAGGAGACTGCTGGCTTGGCGGAAGTATTGAGAGTAAGTAGTGGAAGGATTTGATGGTCGAAAGGCTTGTGAGAGAAGCACAAATATAGATTTACAAGCAGAAGCTCAATATCTACCAGGACCTTTTTGCACGGATTTTGAACCGGAGGATGTATCCTCCATATCCACAATATAGCTGTCGTATAAGTACATAGATGAGATCCCACGACCTAGTGAACAAAATCCACCCAATCGGGTATAGCCCAAGTACGTCATCCGAGACTGTACTGGACTCTATATGCAACAGCTTCAGCTCTACCAACATCAACATAGCTCACCATGTTAGCCACGAAAGTCTTCAGATCAGCGCAGCCGCTGAGAAGTGTAAGTGTCTACCCCTAGCAGAGCTTCAACCCCCAATTGGACCACTCAATGGCTACTGGCCGAACATTTCCCCTCTGCCTCTCACGTTGACCACCTGTACATTCACAGAACGTCCGCCGCTATGCTTCGCCTCCTGGCCCCGCCAGCACCGGCTCCTCGAACAACGCCATCTACGCCCTCCTCGCCGGCGCCGGCTTACTAGGAGGAGGCTACTACTACTATCGAATCACCGAACCGAAACCCGAAGCGCATGCTCCCCCCTCGGCAGACGAACGCAAGACCGTGCCCAAACCCGAAGCGCATGCTCCCTCCTTGGCAGACGAACGCAAGACCGTGCCCTCCTCCCCCGCTCCTTCAGCCTCGGCGCCTCAAAAAGCCTTCCGCGGCGGAGACCAAGGCTTTGTCGATTTGAAACTCGAGTCCGTGGAGGAGATCAATCACAACACGAAGAAATTCCGCTTCGCGCTTCCCAACAGCGATGACGTCTCGGGCCTCTCAATCGCGTCGGCACTGCTCACTAAGTACAAAGGGCCCGAGATGGAGAAGCCGGTCATCAGGCCGTATACGCCTACGAGCGACGAGGATGCCAAGGGGTATCTTGATTTCGTCATCAAGGTGTATCCGAACGGGCCGATGAGCGAGCATTTGCACGCCATGAAGCCCGATCAGCGGTTGGATTTCAAGGGGCCGATCCCCAAGTACCCGTGGGAGGCGAACAAGCATGATCATATCGCGTTGATTGCCGGTGGAACGGGCATCACGCCGTAAGGCCCACCTACCTACTTACCTCCCTTCCCTCTCCTCACCCAACACCCCTCCAATGATACAGCTAGGGTCGTCCACCGCTGACAGTACCGCTCGGGGAATGAAAAAACAGAATGTACCAACTCGCGCGCGCCATCTTCAAGAACCCGGCCGACCGGACCAAGGTCACCCTCGTCTTCGGCAACCTGACCGAGGCCGACATCCTGCTCAAGCCCGAGTTCGAGGACCTCGAGAACACCTACCCGAACCGCTTCCGCGCCTTCTACGTCCTCGACCGGCCGCCCGAGGGTTGGCCGCAGGGCAAGGGCCACATCACGGCCGAGCTGCTCAAGACGGTGCTGCCGGAGCCCAAGGAGGAGAACGTCAAGATTTTCGTGTGCGGGCCGCCGGGCCTGTACAAGGCGGTGAGCGGGGCGAAGAAGAGCGTGGCGGAGCAGGGCGAGCTGACGGGTATGCTGAAGGAGTTGGGGTACCGGCAGGATCAGGTCTACAAATTCTAGACGCGGGAGTCGACGCGGTGTGTATGATAAGCCAGGCTTAGAGTCTAGACGGCGCGAGTGTCTGCCACGCATTGCTTGTTTGGAAGTAACACATCTTACTGTCGGCATGACTTGTGATTGTTTGATTTACCTCCTCCCGCTATAGAAAAGGCTCGGACATCTCCCTCTTCCCCAAAGCATGCAAACCGAAATACCTTACAATGGCTCATTCACACCTCCCATCTACCACACAAACCAACAATGATACCCAACCCGGCCTTCGTCATCCGCATCATACCTCCCAATCCCCTACGGATAAAGACATCGACCAACATTAAAATCACTTCAACAACCGACGCGCCGGGAACGGACCTCAGAATCAAAAAAAAAACCCTCGTCAACCGGGCACGAGAGCTCGATTCAAAATGTTCTTTTCCACGCCGGGTCTGTATGATATCTATATCTGATGCGTGCCAACTGTCACCGTCGTGGGTCGAGGAGAAGCGAAGAAGTGGAACGCTCGACGGACGGAGTATGTGAGTACTCGGTGCGATGTCGTCGGCAGGTATGTGGGTTCGATGTGTTTGGAAAACTGTGTTCTATTGGGATTTGGTTAATCGAAGTGGATTGACAGTATCACCGATGGTTGAACATCTGAGCCCAGATTATACTTTGTATGTCGCTCCGTTGTCCCATTCTTATGACATCAGAACTTTGATATCGTTACTCGTTGCTTGGCACGCGGGTGACAAAAAAGCCTGCACACGTCAAGCAATCCTTCTACCTTTACTAACTAAAATAATACCTTCAATACCCTCTTCACAAGCTAATACTTGCCATCGGAGTTGTTCTTTGTGCTAATATCTATATATTCCAGAGCAAAATCTTCTTGATAGGACCTTTCGTTGGCAAATTGTGTTAGATTTGCAAATTTTAGGGTGTGCAGGCTTTTTTTTCACCCGCGTGCTTGGGTACTCAGGCCCGTTCATTATATCCGGACTGCCGAAGATCATCCGGGAGATTTTGTGCTGCTATGTTATCCCACTCGTTGTTTTTGCAAAGATGTTTTTAGTGAAGGACTTGGAGTACTTCGAACAGGCTGCGACTTTATAGTAGCAACATTCTTGGTAGCCCGTGTTGTTGTGGTACTATCGTGAGTTGAATCTTTTTGTGGTTCGTTAAATGTCCGGATATTAATTGCCGAAAGTCTGCCGCTAGCGTAAGGACAATGACGGATAGGCCTGGTTGGATGATGCATTTGTTGAGATGAGCATTTTCAAAATGTCCATCTCATGTCATATCTTCGCCTTTGGGGAATCCCCTCTGATTTTGCTTGACGGCGCTTCTCTTTCTTTGGCGCTTCCCACTCTACTCTCTTACTCTGGCCCCTTACTCCGATCCCCTTGTATCACAGCCAAAAATCCTTTTTGGGGCTGTTCGAGGCATCCGCGACAGCATGCAGTCATTTTTCCAATACCGCCGCTTTCAACAGCATGTGACAAGGCAGTACGAGCGAGACAAGTCCAAAGCAGAAGCATTGGCGAATTCTGACACATCAGAGTCCACTTCGCCTTCCTCTTCCAATGCAGTCAACACGCCCCGATTCACTGATGCGCCCGACCATGTCGATACACGGGATCCAGAGAAAGGCGAGCAATCCAACCCTCAACCACTCGACTCTCGGGACCACGTCGAGACGCATGACTCGGAGAACGAGGAGCAAAAGGGCCAAGGCTTTGCACCCATACAGGCTGCGCCCAGTAGCAGACGCGCATCACATGGTGGAGAAGCACCAGAGGATATGAGCAGGGCATCGACGGTACCGACGAGAAAAAGCATGGGAACCGCGTTGGGCACAACGCTGACTGGGATCGACATACGAGATCGGAGCACAAAAGAAGGTGGGGACGGTAAGGTGTTCGTTGTTGGCTATGAAGGCGAGAAAGACATCATGAATCCGCATAATTGGAGCTTTCCCACCAGACTTGCTGCGACGTAAGTACACCGCAGACGCTTCTGTCCGAATTGAAGCTGACAACGTCTAGACTCAACATCGCCTTTATTGGATGGATCGTCGGTTTCGCGTCCAGCGTCGACTCCGCTGCTCTCATGCAAGCAACAGCCGACTTCGGAGTCAGCGAGGTCACCGAGTCTCTCGCAACAGGCATCTTCTTGATCGGCTTCGGTGTCGGGGCCTTGTTCGCAGGACCAGTCTCAGAAACTATCGGCCGGAACCCAGTCTATATTGCCACACTCTCGCTGTACATGATCTTCATCATGGCGTCGGCACTTGCTCCAAACATTGGCGCACAACTCGCTTTCCGCTTCATAGCTGGATGCTTCGCCGCTACTCCGTTGGTTTGCGCTGGCGGTTCAATATCAGATCTCTGGAACCCCATGGAGCGGGTCTATGCTTTCCCCGTGTTCGCAAACGCTGCCTTCATGGGTCCAATCTTCGGTCCGATTATTGGCGGCTTCGTCGGAGAATCGTCGCTTGTCTCATGGCGTTGGTGCGAATGGATCACTCTGATCATTTCTGGACTCGTCCTCTCCCTCGTTATTTTCCTTCAGCCCGAGACATATGCTCCAATTCTGTTGAAGTGGAAAGCAGCACATCTGCGGCAACTGACTGGCGATGATCGGTACAAAGCTGAGATCGAGATCCGAGACGTCTCTTTCCCTCAACGACTTGGCACTGCCCTTTACCGTCCGTTCGTTCTCACATTCAGCGAGCCTATCATCATCCTCATTGCTCTGTACCTGACAGTCATCTATATCATCCTCTTCACCTTTCTCAATGGTTACACCTTCGTCTTCACCGAGACGTATGGTTTCTCGGAGGGAATAACTGGCCTTGTCTTCATAGGTATCGGGATTGGACTTTGTCTTGCCTCACTCCTTGTACCCATCATATACAAATGGGCCAAAAATGATCTTGCCAAGATCAAAGAGCAAGGCGGGACCCAACTTCCACCGGAGTTCAGGCTATGGTTTGCCATGTTTGGAGCCCCAGCTATACCGATCAGCATGTTTTGGATGGGATGGACAGATTATTCGTGGATCTCCTATTGGTCCCCTCTTGGGGCCAGCGTCCTGTTCGGATATGGCATCTTGTGCGTCTTCATCAGCAGCTATCAATACATCATTGATAGCTACGAGTCATACTCCGCGAGTGCGCTGGCCAGTGTAACATTCATTCGATACGTGGCTGCAGGTGGAATGATTGAAATGGCCATTCCCTTCTACAAGCATCTGGGAGTGCATTGGACGTTGACCATCTTGGGTGCGTTGAGCGCTTTGCTGGTGCCTGTCCCGTACCTCTTCTACCACTTCGGCACCACGATTCGAGGGAGAAGCAAATACGCCCTGGTCAAGGGATGAGGATTCGAAAACTATTTTCACATTAGCAATGTGGTATCTTGGATTGGTGTATGTACATACAGTATCTTAATGTAGCATCATGTACATAGTTTCAGGCCGGTGGTGCATTGCGGCCTTTTTGTATATAGGGAATCGTTTCAACGTAGCCCAAAGAGCTCATGCAGTAGGCAATCTGTCCACTCTTTGAGCCGCCTACTTCCTTGCAAGGGGTCTCTCGACAGTCGTGCCCCTGATCTCTAGCTTCGGCGCAGAGTGATTTTCCTTTGCACCTTTCTTGACAGCTTTGTCCACCCTCTCAGGCTCTCCTGTGGTCCTTTTGCTTCTCTGAAAGGTAGTGTTCGTTAATTCGATGTTTGTGTTCGTCCGTTTTGTTTGTTGGTCATCTTCTCGTTCACTAGCCCTGGCATGATCTGGCTTATCTTCCTCCCTTGGTTCCAGCATCTTTCTCTCCAAACTAATGGTCAGCTTTTGCCTCCTCTCAACGCCCGCCTTCCCATCTTCATCTTCCCATCTGATCTCCCATCCGTCATCTCCCTCCACAGCCACGGCTCCCTCTCCTCCTGCTAACGTGAGCCCTCCAGCACCTCCCTCTTCGCCGGCATCCCAGCCCCAGGATCCAACAATATGCGCTCTGCTCTGAGTTCGATTCCCATATTTGACATCCCGAGTATTCTTGTCGACGTATATCCAATTCAACATGGGTGGATCTTTGCTGATGGTAGATACTAACCCCAACGGTAGAGGTCGGGGCCTCTCGGGATCAGGGTATTCGATGTAGAAACCTTCAAATGGATGGCTAGTACTAGACGAATGCCGTGGCACGATGTAGAGCTTTTCTCCTCTGAGGACGATGTGTCCGCCATCAATCTCCTTCGCCTTTTGACTATTGGCCCCGCAGAAACACTCAAGTTGGAACTTTCTCATACGTTCCTCCTCGGTCTCGGGATCATTCTCTTTCCTCCCTTCAGAGATCCCCTCGGCCACACCAATGGTGGTGGGGATAGCAGCGATGGCCAGGAGGCCGAGGACCATGTTCGCGCGTCAGGAGTCGGGAGAAGGGTATGGAGCCGTTGAAGGCAGGCCTTGCAGAAGGAGAGGAGAAGTTGGGGGCGGGCAGCAAGCGGACTGTCGTCACTTAGAGTGAACCCAGCACAACCTTCCATGCAGGGGAAGTCTGCACGTTCCAGGGATATGTGTCCCAAATGTTGGCAAAGTCAAAGATACTGTGAATGGGCGCCATGTGGTGAATATCGTCCCAGGAAAACACCCCTTGCACGCGAACCTGTGGGGGATCGACAGACTTCTCGAACCCCCAAAATAGAGTACTGTCCCTCATCCATACAAATAGCAAAGATCTAGCTCCCATCACCATCTCTCCGACCCTCAAGTACTGTAGCCAGCATGGCGGCTGCAAACCACGGCTTGCATTCAAATGTTCCAGCAGACGATGAAGATGCGGGCCCACTACATGGTAAGTAAAGCTCTCCCCACAAATCAAGACGATTGTCTATGGACTGACACTGAACCAAGTCCCTCTTCTTCAGTCCTGGATCTCCCTCAGCTCTACAGCAAACCTTCAGCTCAATCCCTCCTTTCTGCTATTGCCCTGCTCGCCGTTGCCCCTCCCTCCTGGCAAGGAAAATCCGGCGAGGCTAGACCAGCTTCAATTAGCCAAGACGGCGTACCTTCCTACCTGACGCGCATCATATCAAGCCCCTTGGCTTGGATACCTTCAGATACCGACAGAGAACGAGTATGGGAAGCAGCCAGCAAGCGACTCGCTGAACGATCAGGCCGCACAGCCATGCCATCAATCTCTCGTACCTTCCGGATCCCAATCGACGGGCAAGACCCATCGGACACTCTCGACATCAAACTCCACGAACCTTCTCTGACAGGCGACAATCTCGGCCATAAGACATGGGTGGCTTCCTACCTACTCGCCAAACGCCTCCCCACCCTTCTCCCGCGCCTCTTCCCCGGCATCAAACCTTCTGCCGAGATCGACCCCCTCGATCCCCCTCCGCCGACCAAGTACCCCAACAACCCTCACCGTCACCCCATCCCACCTCCAAGCCCACATCCCCGCACCCTCGAACTCGGCGCCGGCACCGGCCTCGTCGGCCTAGCGGCCTCGGCCCTCTTCTCCACCCACACGCTCCTCACCGACCTCCCCTCCATCCTCCCAAACCTCCAGCGCAACGTCACCGCGAACGCATCCCTCACGGCGTCCAGCGCCGTCGCGGCCGGCCCTCTCGACTGGTCGGACCCGGACTCGTACGTCCGCGGAGACGCACGCTTCGACCTCATACTCGCGGCCGACTCGCTGTATGCGCCTGAGCATCCGTCGTGGATCGTCCGGGTCATGGGGACGCTGCTCCGGTGGGACGAGGAGAGGAGGGCGAGGGTCGTTGTCGAGTTGCCGTTCCGCAGGGAGAGGCCACCGGAGCATGAGGATTTGAGGGTGCGGATGCGGGAGGGGGGGTTCGTGTTGGTGGAGGAGGGAGAGGAGGTGGGATACGACGACTGGGAGGAGCTCAGTCCTTCGGGTGGGCAGTTGGAGGTGAAGTGCTGGTGGAGCGTATGGCGCTGGAGGTGACGGCTTCTATCGCCTACGGATGGGACAGGAACCGGAATAGGAGGTCAAAACGCCTGCGCGTGGACGGTACGGACGCACATGTGTGATCAGAGCGGAGGGGTTTTCTATACCAAGAAGGTCCAAAAACTAGGCCAGACGAACTCATCCTCAAAGATCCTCCTCACCTGCTCCAACACAAACTTCTCCACCTTGCCCACATTCTTAAGCACCTGCTTCCCCCCCTCCTGCCTCCCAATCTCGCTCTCGACCCGAATCTCCCTCAACAGTCCCCCCGGTCCCTCCTCCCCCCCATCCCCCACCCCCCCCTCATCCCCAACCGTAGCCTTCGCGTCCTCCCGCCCCAGGAAGCAAAAATGCACCTTCCGCCTCTCCGCGTCCCCGACGGCGCCCGGATGCCGCAGGTACGCCAGCACGGCCACCCCGTCGAAGCTGAGCCCCGTGATCCGCAGCTGGAGCGGGATCCCGACGAAGGACGGCATCGGGTAGTCGAGCAGGATCTCCGCCGTCAGCGACAGCGCCACCGTCCCGCTGTAGGATATGTGCAGCGTCGTCTGCAGGTCTTGCGACCGGTCCTCCGTCGTCGTCGTCGGATCCCCGCCCCCTCCGTCCGGCTCCGCGGGGCCGGCGGTATAGCTCCCCCGGCTCGGGCTCCGCTGGTCACGACGACGACGTGGCGTATTTGACTCCCCCCTCGGCACCGCAGGTCCGAACGCCGCACCGTGCCCCCGCTCCCGCCGCAGCGGCGAAGGCGGACGCTGCTGCTGCTGCTGCTGCTGCTCGCCCCACGGCAACAGCGGCGTCTGCGTCCCCGACAGCCCGGCGCCCAGGGGCAGGTGGAAGTAGCCGAAGTTGGCCGTCCCGCCCGGGATGGGGAGGCCGGGCGTGCTGGAGCGCGAGAGGAAGGGCGTGCTGATCTGGTCCGCCGGCGGCGGGGGGAACGGGAAGCCGGCGCGGAGGGTCGGGTTCGGGGGGCGGGGGTCTATCGCCGGAGGTGGCACGGTCGTCGGGGCTCGGTTGGGTGCGTCGGTCGGGGGCTTCGGTGCGGTGGAGGCTGGGGCTGCGACGATGGCTCCGCTGACCGCTTCCTCCCCTTCTGAAGATTCTGCCGCCTCTTCCTCTTCTTCATCGTCGTCGTCGTCGTCGTCACCATCATCCTCGTAGAATTCGGGGAACGGGTCCGAAATGTCCTTCAGCTCCACCTCCGGGCCTTCCTCCCCGAAATCGAACGAGTGCACTTGCACGGAGCGAATGAAGCGCGGGAGGGCCACTTGCTGGAACTTGTCGTGGATGAAGTCGCGGATGGAGTCGGCGAGGGCGAGGCCGGCGGGTCCGGTCGTCAGGCTGGCCCAGTCGATCGTGATGGACATTACATGGTTTGTGTTTTTGGGGGGAGAAGGGTTTAGAGAGAGAAAGAGAGAGCAGGGTTGGTTGGTAAGTAGCAGCAGGGGTGTGCTTATCTCCGGGTGGGTATTTCCGGCGACAGTTCTTGACTCTTCTATCCGTCGCCTGTAGACCTCGCGAATCTCTTCCTAGCTATTATCCATTAGGAGATTGTTGCGGTCTCTTTGGCAAGCAAGTCCACCGTCTATTTACTACTACCGCCATCCCTATGGGTTCAAATCTCCCCTTCATTCCAAATACTGTACATTTATCGTAGAAAGAACAAATCTCATCCATTGATCCGCTCTAGATACACAGATACGTACATAGATACATAGATACATACATAGATACATACATACTTACATACATACTTACTTACATACATACATCGAGCAATCAATCTATCTATGTATCCATCCATCCATCCATCCATCTGATCTCCTCTTTTTTCTCCACCTCATTAGCTCAACTCATCACAATTATATCCCCCTTCGGAGACAAGACCCTCCGGGCCGGGCTTACACCATACGACTTCTCGCTCTCACGGCCACGCTCGGTCCTGTATGCAGGGGGGAGGGGGACCTCGTTGTCGGACGCTGCGCGCACGTAACCTATGGACGATGCGGCAAAGGCTACGGCTACCGGGTTTGCAGTCGGCAAGGTCCCTTTGGGGAAAAGCGAGTCCCTGCATGATGAGAAGGTGACGTGGTGGATTTGGAATTTTCCTCCCTCGTCTTCTTCTTCTTCTTCTTCTCCTTCTTCTTCTTCTTTACTTACTTTCTTTCTTTTCCATTTTTCTTTTCCATTTCCTGCTCCGAGGTTTTTGCTCCCTCAAGTCTCACCCGGGGTTCCAAGCATCTTCACCGTGCTCGAGCGAAGCAAATGGCATGTTCCATTGCGCCGGAAACGTGTTGTTGGGTTCCAGCAGCAATGTCTGCATCAAGAAAGGGTCCCACATTACCTGCCGCGAGCCGAGCCAGCCTGGGAGATCGATCTCATGACCTTTTTGTTTTAGATTGCCGACATGCATGCATTGCTGGATTTGGCAATCCCATTTCGTAATGCCTGCTTGTTTGCATAGGGCGCCTGCATCATGCTCATCATCGACGTCTGAGGTCTGAGATGGCGCCTGGCTGACTTGGCCAAAATCACAGTGGTGGAAGTTTCAAACTCGGAATGCGCGTTGCACTGCTAGATTGTGGATACAATGAGTGAATGAATGAATGAATAAATGATCGCGGTCCAATTTTGACAGCTTTCCCATCTAACGAAAGGAAACTGAGAATGCAAAGACCCGTCTAGATTTTCGCCTGTGACCCTGCGCGCACACAAGACCAACCAAGGGGTATATTCGATGTGATGGATGAATGAATTTCAAGCGCTGGCCGCCCAGAGGATGTTCTTCACCCCGTTATGTTTGCTCCATCGAGAATGCTTCGCGCCACACATGCCGCCTATATGCTTCTGCTCAACCAACGCTCAACGGATTGCAATCGCGCCCTGCCGTGATGACAAGTTTGGATGAGGACCCATGACTAAGAGAACAAGAGATTAGCCACTGCCTGCCGGTGGCGTGAAACGTTCAAGAGCTCTCGCAGCCGAGTCCTATGTGTCTGTTAGCACGCCGTCGCTTTGACTGCATGTCTGGAAAACCAACATTTACCGCAGCGAGCGCATTTCTCTTTATGAGAGACCGTCTTTTCGGTCGTCCCCGAGCAACTTCCACCCCTATGCCCAGCGCAGGGCGCGACGTCCGTCTTGGAGTGTCCGCATGAGTACTTGTGGATCAGGAGGCGGCACATGTTGACGGGTCCGGAGGTTGAAGAGGTACGCATGATTGAAGTGAAGTAGTCTTGGGTGCAGGTGTTAAAGGGCCTTGTGAACCGAGTATAATGATGAGGGACGATGTGGAAGCTGAACGTAACGTCAGCATTCCATGGATGTATAGGATACCCATGTCAAGAACTCACCCGGCGCCGGACTTGTGGAGTGAGTGGGAGGATTGTAGATGTTCGAGCGAGGATGTCGAGACCGGGGCTCTCAGGCAATATATAGACTCGAGGAGCGTGGCGGTAGTGGAGATAACGACGAGGCGAACGAGCTTCTGCGGAGCTATGAGGCGACGGCGGATAGCTCAAGGATGCAGCTGGCCGAAATATACTGGAAGCATGGAAAGTAGTGTACATGCGGTAGACGACAGAGAAGATGGAAGGAGCAATTGCCAGAAGGGTATATAGTAGGACGCTATATTTTGGAGAAGGTGGAGGAGGAGATGGTGGATAGTCAGAGGAGCGGTTATGGCATGTGGAGTCTTTCCTCGATTTATATCTGAGTGGACTCATGATGGAGAGGGAGAGCCAAGGCAAACAGAGGAAGAATGCGTATGAGCATTAGAAAATGACATGTTTGAGAAGATTGGTTGCAGGGAAGAGCTTGCCAACTCCCGTAAGGGTCCCTGCGTTGTCCCCGTCTCCCGCATCGATATCAAAGCTGTGAGTAGCTGTGAATCTGCGAGTGCTCGTATCATGAATGGAAGGTTGCTCTAGTTCATGTTCTAGTGTTCTAGCTGCCGGAAGTAGCTGATTGGAGGTGCATGTATCCAATGATTCCCATCTGATCATCTGATGCTGTCGGCCTCACTCGGTTCCTTATGGATGTCCGGCATCAGTCGTTGCCGCCGTTTCCTGTCTCAGATCAGGTCCAGCGTAGTCGATAAGGTTGTGTAGGGCATAGCTACATAGACCTCAGGAGCGAAAGACGTATCAAGAGCTCAACCATTGTTCGTCGATGATGGCCTGACGGTGCGAATGCTCTGAGAGTCATGTCATATCGTGTCATAGCGTTTTTTTCTTTTCTTTCCCGCAGACTCCGCTATCGTGTCGTAGGGCGACTGGAACCTTGTTCGAATGTAGGTAGTAAGTAGCAAATAACATCGGCAAATCAAATTGGGCAGATTGAACCTTGTGCCTTTGTACCTTGTACCTGGTGGTGAATGTCAACGGGCACTTGTTTTGAATGATCATAATGTGTGGTCTTTTTGGCTGGTTTTCGGTTTTCGGATTCGCGGGTTCTTGCATAAGCTGCTAGAGAAAGTGAGATGCAACCATGCAGGCTGGTGCAGGGTAAGTTATTAAAAAATAAAACCCAAATGTGATGTCCGTCATGGCGCATATGTCGCATAAGGGCTGGGGAAGAGAGTTGAATGAGAGTGAGAAGAGTTGAGATGAGTGAGATGAGTTGAGAAGACTTAGGTTGCTTGCTAAAGTAGATGTGAGGTACCGGTATCATACTACTAAAGTACTAGTACCTTACTGTCCCTTACGTAGTCCCTTAGTTTGCTCTTAGCTTGGAAACGTGCGGAGGTATCAGCGGAGCAGCAGAGCCTCCTAGTCCTAACCAATTGCATATGCAGGAAGGAGTCAGGACCAAACTTCAACACCGTCAGTTCGCAGTTCACTACTGTACTCCTTTGAACTCTCCTCGCTTTCCCTCCATGTCTTTTTCTTTTGAGTCTGCGACAACGAGCTTGCGACAGCCGATTCACTAAAGCTGCGCAACCCTTTGCTCTGCTCCCTTCTAGCACCTGCCAATCGTTGACCTCCTGCGACCTCCTGCGTTCTGAGGTGCAGTCGGGGCTGACCAAGTGCGGCTAGCATCAATGTTTGAAGGCGTCTGACATCTGATTGGTGATGCTCGAGGCAAAAGGAGCAATGTGGAGAGTCAGAACAGGATAGAATTGGCGTGCGGAATGTGTTGAAGGTCAAGGTTAAGGTCAAGGTCAAGGTCAATTGTAGACGAGCATCGAAGGATACGACGACCATCGTCGTTGCTTTTCACAGATCATGTTTTCTTGTCAAAATGTGTCATTTTATTAGATAGAGCGAGTAGGGAGTTAGAGTAAAGTAATGCATAGTACCTTAGCCCATGGCGAGTCTAGCCGAAGCTTATCACACTATGTAAGTATTGATGAAACAGAAGGAGCGGAGCGAATCCTGCCGCACAAACAGTCGTGCTTATGCCCGAAACACCCACAGCCACAATCAGTCCCAACAGTACATCCTTTAATCTCAATCCAGCACAGGTCAAAAGGACATCGAAGCCAGTATGGACGGGCCATATGTTGACCAACGCACATATCCTCTACTACGGCCGAAACGCAACTTCAATCGCCAGCTAGAAAAATATATTGCAGACTGCGTTAGCCATGTCACTCCCCTCCAGACACCTCCCCGAGAGGAGCAACTCCTCGCAATCGATCACGCTTCTGCCTGCTAAGGCCTACATCCCACCATCCTCCGCACGAGCCACCACTGAGTCAAGTAACCCTCTTATCCATGCCCACGTTGGAGATGAAGCAATGCCAACCGAAGATGAGATCAAAGACGCCACCACGAAAAGCAGATCTTCTAGCACGACCACGGCCTCGAGCTATGCCTCCAGCAATGATGACGAGAAGAAGGGCGTCCTTCCGCGGGCCGACGTGAAAGTGTAGGAACGAGACGCGAATAAGGATGAGAGTAAGGGGAGAGGGTCTTGGCAAAGCATCGGGATTAGTGAGCATCACGGTTAGAATGTCGTTCTTGGGTTTAGTCGATGATTGCTGCCATTTCGTATTCGGAGTATACATCCGATCATTTGGCTGCTTCCGCTTTACTTTCCAGGCGTACATGCATATAGTCTCCACGACTTTTCCGATGAAATTGTTGGGCAGCGCCCGGTATCCCTGATCGGCGCCAATGATGCTTCCACTAGTCTCCAAGTACCTTCTTGCAAACGTTTTCCGAAACCCCTTATCGGTACTCCCCGTGGCAGCAAACGGGCGTGGGGAATGTGGATCGTTGTCGACGAATCGCTTGACGGCTTGATCGACCCCCTGCTGATCCATAGAAATTAGCTGGCATTGGTTGGAGTCGAGCAGCCACACATGAGTAGTCGTGGCCTGGCACTGTACCGCATCCACATCCGTAGAGGAGTTCTCTTTCAACTTTTTTGATCCTGCGACGGTAGGGAGCGGCTCCTGCGCAAGACAAGGGGCTCCACCAAGAACAAAATCGATATCCGCTGAGTCGACTCGTGCCTACCAGTAATTGATGGCCAGAGCATCCGCCATCTGAAGGGCATAGATTGGAGTATCGAGCTCCAAGTCCTCCAATGGATCCAGGCACAGCTTAAAGTTCCGTAGACGAAAATAGTCCACCTTTTCCTTGATACGGATGGTAAGGCCACCGTCTACCCATGTACAGCCTTATAAGACGGTCCTTGTTGCTATCCTGAAATATTACGTCTACTCCCAATCTCTCTGGCAGTACTGATTGATGAATGCATGCCTCGCAGTCAGGTGAACAGGAGGAATGCGCTCCGAGCGCAGCAAGTTCTCTGGATAACCGTATTCCCTCGGGGACAGGCGCTCATTGACCGCCCACCACCTCTAGTCTTCCTTACTAATGTAGCCAGGACAACGCAGCACATGTACAAGCAACGGTCGCCCGACCCGCTTAACATAGCGCGCAAAAGCTTCTTCGACCGTCTTATGCATGATTGAATCATTCCACATCCGACAATCGTCCGCAAGAGCTCCATTGTTGATCGCTTTTTCAATACATAACTGGTTCCATGCTGTTCATAGACAATGCCACAGGATCCCCATCCGATCGCACGGAGTCCTAGTTGGGAATGACGTTCTGTGGCAGTCGTCGACCATGGGGATTTCTCCGCTGCCCGCTCACGCCAGGCAACTGACCGTAATCTTTCATTGTGATGCACCAGCGAGAGAGAGATGTCTGATGCGGTGCACTTAAGAGAAGAATCTTGCGGAGCATCTCCTTGGGCGTATCGAAAATGTAAATTACTTCTGAGCGGAGTGCTTCCTCTAGGCTTTACGGGTGTAGCCTCGACTTGCGGGGGAAAGTCCATGTTTGCTTCCGATTGCGAACCTTATTGTATGCTTGCCTTGAAGTTAAACCGAATCGCTGTTGGATTGGTGGTCCTGGAATCGGCGAACACAATGAGGTGAATGCGTTGTTGTCACTTTAGAGTACAGGATAACAGCTTGAGAAGATCACATGGTGGGGACTCTTTCCCCATATAACGCTCACGACTCATGCTGAAGTATTCTGCATTTGCGCATTTAAATGGAAAAGACTCATTGACTTTTGGTGCGCTTGAGCGATCTATCCCAGGAACGAAGGTTTCTTGAAGAAGCAACCGCACTCTAAAGTGAGGAACAGCATCGTTCACAGCTTGATCGACAGGTTCCAAGCATCGAGCCCTACAGCAACAGCCGTGAGCAGAGCTGCGTACCCTACGAGCACAACCATAGCTCCTATTCTGCTCATGCTTAGGGTATCAAGTGTCAGATTGACCAGCCCCGTCAGAAGATTTGCTAACAGGAATATAGCGAGTCCATTCCGGTTGAAAGCTCTCAGTACTCGGCTAGTGGCTTTCTCACATTCCCTTCGTTCCAATGTTCGAGTCGCTGCCTTGTAGACACCAGGAAAGAACGCCGTCTCAACGAGGCAAAAGACCGTGATTTGGGCGCAATTGAAGGCTGACACCCAGAAGACATACGGTTGGTTAGCGAGACGGCGTGAAACCTGGAAAGCAAAGCCTATATTGTAAGAAGTCACTGAATAGAATAAAGAGACCCATACAGCTGACCACACCGCCAGACGTTTGAGCAGTCGCTTTCTCTGCTGCCAGTCCGAGTCTGTGGCTGAAGTCTGACTCGGATAGCGCGGCAGTACATCAAAGCCGAGTGCTTGACCTGCCAAGAAGATGGCTACGCAGCCCCAGAAAGAGAACACTCCCTCTCGGTTCTGACTTATAAAGTCCGTCCTGGGAGCTGTGAGGATGAAAGCTTTGAGCCGGGTGCACTCAAGGAGTGTTTGATAAAGGCCGCTTATAAGGATTGACACCAATCCCGTGTAAGGTACCAATGCAGACACAGATTGTAGGATAGCTACAAATGGTGGCAGGAAGGCCAGAGTGAAGAAGAAGTTCCAATGTACACCGTACTCTGTGACATGCTCGGCATAATCCAGACCTTTGACGCTGTACAGTCGAATGAATCCCAAGACGAGCAGAGGTAGCGATGCCCGGAAAGCAGATTGGAGCTGCGAGCGGAAAGAACATTTCATGCGTGCAAAACGAGCTTGTAGAACCGGTCTAGCAGAAACCAATCCAGCAGAAAACACGAAGGAACCTACGCCAACATCCATCAGAGATGTTCCCCAAGTCTCGACTTTCGCAAATCGTCTGGGGAAGATTCTAAAATCCACCGCAAGTATTGCTAAACATGTAACCACTATCATGCCTCCTCTATAGATCGTGATAAACGGTCGTATGGGCAGCGGCTCGAGCTCCTCCTTCGCGCCTGTAGACTCCGCTGGCTTGTTCGCAAGAGGCTTCGAGGCTCTCTTGCGGTAGTTGGTTGTAGAGGGTAGGACGCAGAGAAGGACGGCGGGAGACACCAGGAGCGTATTGAGTAGAATAGCATTCGAGGAGTACATTGTCAGAGCGAGCAGTATACCTCCAACATTGAGCAGCAAATCTGTGAGGAAAGCTGGCGGACCGTACTCCAAGAAGTAGCCTTGACGCGACTGGAGGGCTGCCCATAGTAGATATGCGGCCTAAAGCTTTATGTTAGCTGTAGAAATGAGTGTGACATCGTGTGAGACTCACTGGAGCGACAGCTGTTACCCAATTGATCTCGGAGACGGTTCCCCCAGACAGGTTGGAGACGAAGTTCTCCTTCAGTGTTTTGTAGCTCTGCGCCATAGTGGATTACTTCTTCCCACCACAGAGGTAAGGACTGTATAGGCCGATTCAAACCAGGAATCTTGCAAGCTCGTAGGAGGCCTCAATGGTTAAGTTGAAAGTCAGACTACAGAAAACATGAAGCTATTCGCAAGGAAGCCATATGAATAAGACGCGGAACGATTCCGCGGGTTGAAACGTCACTTTGACCACACCCTTTCCCCCTCGAGGTCATCTCATCTACAACCGCATTGATGCTCCGCTCAATACCATCATTGATTACTCTGGTCTATGACAGTCATGGATGAAAGAACGCCTCTCAGTGGGGCTTGCTCCTGTGGCCGAAATCACTACTTCATCCAAGTCCCATCGAATTCGCTCGAAAATCTACAAGTGCTCTATGATGATAGAGCAGAGCATAGTATGTTATCATTGATAGGCTACGGTCATCGTACTTACGGTGTAAAGCTCTTTCCCTTCGCGTTCCGTTAGCTCAAATCCACAGTACCACCTACGCCTTCTTCCCAGATGAAGCTCCCAGCACCATTAGACGTGTGTTCACTCCACATCATGCCCCACGTACTAAGCGGCATTTCTGTGGGCTTTGCGGTACTTCTATCAGCCATTGGAGTGAAGAGACTTCGGAGGAAGCAGAATGGATCTACATGAACATTGGAAGTCTTAGGCGAGACAGCATGGAGCGTTTGGAGGATGCAGGACTTCTGCGGGGTCTTGGAAGCGAGAATAATGAGATGGCACAGATGGCTACTGGTGGATCAAGACAGGTGGCCAACCTAGGTCAAGGTCGTGAAGTACGGGGCACTCCTTGGTTCGAGGAGATGATCCAGGGAAGCGAGCTGGGGAGGATCAAAAGGAGAAGAGGGGGGGAAACTAGTTCAGATGGCCGCACAAAAGTGGAATGGGAGATCAGCGAGTTTGGAAGTGGTGACGGGGATGTTCCTGTTGCAAGTACAAGCAAAAGGAAGCTTGGTTCTGTGGATCATGGGGACGACGTGGAGATGCGGAGCGGATAAAGATTTATGATATATACGGTAGGCATTCACAGGGTTGCTTATACAGAGAGAGGGGCCATTATCCATCACCTGGAGCACTCGGGTCAATATGGCAGGCATATCATTGCTAGCAATTTAGCCGTGCAACCTCAAAGAAAGCGGCAGTCTGAGTCGCCAAACCCCCTCGTTCTCACGTCGACTTTGAGCATCGAACTGGCTATGATTGAAGTTCCCCAGAAAGAGCGTTAGACAGCTCAGAAACTTCCTCGCTGATGCTGTCTTGACCGAAGTTTAGAAGATTTCTACCCATTCCGACTGCTACCTATGCTGACACCTTGCCACTCGCATGTCATTAAGAAAGAATGTACGTGTATCTGGTAAGGCTGATCATTTGTGTTGAGCGGCCATGACTGAGTGAGTGTACATCCGGCGCGTCTCCACCTTGACTCGGGTTGTTTACCTTCCACACCCGCCGAACTCCTTTCTCATACTGCAACTTACTCGTAAGATCTCGACACACGCTTGGCCTAAACACCTTTGAAATCATTCTGCACGCACTTCAAAACCTTCATGCCTCCATACAACATGGGGACCTTGACCGACATCACAGCACGAGCCGGCAACACCATGAAGCGTCAATCGACGTCTTCCATGGGATATCAGTCCCTTGATTCGCCAATCTCAGTGAAAAAACCAGCCGAGAAAGAGAGCTCGGGGAAACCCAAGTCACCACACTTCATGACACCAACCTTCTCTTCTTCCTTACAGTCCGTTGCAACAGATGGCATTACACCTGTACCTTCAACAAAGTCTAGCAAGGCAGAGAGTAGTAATGCGTGGATGAAGTCGGCTGCTAAACGCGTCGGTTTCCGCCGTACAGGTGATGGCACACCTCGCTCCAAGAAAGAAGGGCCTCCCAAGACATCCAAAACGATCAGCTTCCCAGACAAAGTACGTCGTCCTTCGGATTTCACCAGACACGTTGCTAACCTCATTAGCTTGCTACACCATCTTACACTAGAGTCTTAGACACTCTCCCGTCAATAAAGACGCAGCCGCCAAAGGTCTCACCCACGGATAAGCCTCTTCCCAATCCTCCCACAGGTCAAACCTCCTACCCTGGTGA